GTACCCCTTTGAATCTTTAGTAAGAAGATAGGGTCCAGCATCAGTCATAACCCCCACCCCCCCTCCCCAGATACATGGTAGTCTATTTTTTGCTTCTTTAATTAAAAAAGCATGTTGTTTCATGTTTCCACATTAGTCCACAAAAGATAGAATTTTGCGGAGACCACTTACTGGTATTTGGAGTACTGTATCATCAAAAGAAGGGCATAGCATGATGTCAGATCCCGCAAGTACTAAATGTGCTAAAGTTTCATCATATTTGTTAAGGAATCTCATATTTTCATCCTGTGGTATTGAAAGATTCAACAATAATTTTAGCTGCGAAATCTTGTGTAATTATACATTGAATTGAAGTTAATCATGAGCTCTGAGAAATGAAGGGATGCAATTACCTTGAATTCCTCCTCAAAATATTCCAATGCCGAATTCAAACCAGGAGTTTGAGCCGAGCTCATGAAGACAAACTGCACATCATCAATTGAAATTCTCATTGGTTTAAATAAACTCAGAAGGAAGACAAAATAACAGATACAAATTTTTAGACTAATTAGTTTCCAAATAGAAGTGCAAACCTACCTGAAAAAATCATCAGCAAAGCTATGCCATCAAGAGAAGACATACAGAGAAGTGAGAACCATGACTTACTTGAGAAAAGCAACAACAACTACCCTCAGTCCCAGAAAAATTGGGATCGTCTATATGAATCCTAAATGACCATGTTTCTATTGGAATTAATGCATCAATGTTTAGTCTTCCGAAATTGTCTCTTAGTTTTTCAAGAAGTCTCTTTAGAATTTCGTAGTACATGTATCTAGTAAATTGTGATACATGTATTTAGTTATTTGTGCAAGACTTTTTGTTTTCTATTTTGAGTAGTATAAATAGTGATGTAGTTGATGATTGTAATCATCTCAAGTGGCCTTAAGTAGCCAATAATAAACTTGAGTATTCTCTAAAGATATTATTTTCCTTCCATATTTCCTACAGTTTCTCCATTTAATATCATCCTAAAGCCAAAAGTACTACCAAAAATAAGAAGTACTAGAATTTATTTTCCTTATGGAAAGCACATCAAGCTTATTCAGAAGAATGAACCTGAACACCTCTCCTAGAAGCCATCCAAATAAGTGTCTTGAGGTTCTCCAGTTCAATATTAAAGATGTCTGAGAAGATGCATCCTACCTGAAGATACATCATTAATAAGCTAAACATATAATGATACATCAGCTGAACGCAATACTAAATTTGAACAACACTGATGATGTCCTCATCTAATCACACAACAACAGATGGAAGTCTTAAAATGAAGCAAGTTATAATCAAAGATCAATAAGGGATTTCACAGAGAGCAAAAGAGGCGCACATCAAATCACATGTCACTAATCTTCCATGGAATAGTACCTAGGGAAAATTACCAAAGGAACCATATAGTTCAGAGAGAACATTTGGGTTTTAGAAGTTCCTAAAAGGCATCCAATAGAGTAAAGAGACATAAAATTCAGCAGCAAAGCAGACATTTTACCCAGTTATATTAAGAACACCGTTTTGTCCAACTTCAGTGATACTTACTCATACAATAAAATATTCTGTTCCTTTATCAGTGTTAGGCAGACAGACCTAGACAATTTCATAAAGAAGAAGCTAAAAGAAAAGATAATCTTTGAGAAATCCCCATTAATAGTGTTCGATTATAAACTTTTGCAGGTGTATCTTCAACTAGAGTAAAACCTACAAGAACAATGGATGCTTTCTCCTGCAACCCCAAATGCTGCTGCAACGAGACTTTGCAGACAGATTTCCCCTTCATATTATCTGCACTATAGTTTTGTGGAAGAAACTTATCTACTGAGGGATCCCAAGCTGAACTGTTGAATCCTTGAGGAGCAACTACTAACTTGTCCCTACAATCAAGTTGTATTAACAAATGAAAAGCAGCTTCATAAACACCAGAGGAGAAACAATCCTGAGAGACTACTAATCTGTTGCAGCAAGCAAAAGCATCTCTGGAGCCTTTAGCAAAGAATAGAACTTGCCAAAGAATCAGAAATCCATACTAGCCTAATTGTAAAATGTTGAAGAGCACATACTTGTGTATGGTTAAGGTGGACTCAAGACCATGACTCCTAGCATGAATTATCTGCCCTTTTGTTTGCATGGATGACATTATGATAACATTGTTGGAGTATACAACTCCAGCCTGGACAAAGACAAAGGAGTAAAATGTTACATGATGCACGGCAAAAGAACTCAAGTTTGTCTGGAGATAATCCATTGAATGAAGAAACTATAAGGCAAAAAAGACATAAAAAGCCATTTATGGGAAAATATAAATGAGATGTGTGGAGAGGGAGTTCACGTTGCCTGCTTTTCAAACTCTCTCCAATTACCATGTGAAGTGAAATATGAAGTAGGAATCCCTTCTAACGGAAATACAAATATTCCACTTATGTGACAAAATGGCATCCAGTTACTGTGCAGTCAAGTATCCAATGGGAGCAAACAGTCAAGAGGTCAGAAAGCATCAAATACCTTCAAAACATTGACAAGATGGGAGTTGTTGTTATCTTGCAGACGGTCAGAACAATGTAATCCATAAGGATCAAGCCCACATAGGGCCAACTTTTCAGGTTGCTCTACACACTGATACAGATGACATTCAGAGATTGCCAAGAGGCTTGGTGCATTTTGAAACTACTCTTAGAGAAAACAGTAATGATCGCTTAATCCGGATCTTGCCTGAGACTCAAAGCTTTGACACGTCAACATTATTCTGGTACCTCCAAGTCCCTGTACATTTGAGAAGTAAAAAACGCATCATTCACGATGCGTAGAGAAAGGAAACTTTAACAGAAACATCAAACACCATAGTTTTGCCTAAGAAATACCACAAAAGGTGCATCATAGAGAGGAAGCAGGACTAGTCGCCCGAACCATGTAAAAACAAAATTCAGTTGCATTGTATGTTAAGTAGCAAATTTTAGTTTACAACCGCAGAAGAAATATATAACCAGACCCATCAAAATTACCAGCAAAACACTGTAGTTTCTTCATGTCAATGGCCCAATTGAACAATAAGGCCAAGAGGACATTTGGCAAGAAACTAAGAAATCAAATGCACATCTCCTAAAAGGTGGGGAGGGCTTGGAGTTAAGGATCTAAGTTTCCATAACAAAGCGTCGTTGAGTAAGTGGCTATGGAAAATTAAGGTGGAGGTACAATTTTGAGAGAGGGGTGATGGAAGGAAGTGGAGAATAAATTATGTCACTGTGCCTTATGGGTGTGATTGTGGAGAGTATCATGAAGGAATAGGTAGAATTTAGAAACAACATATCATTCAGGATACGAGAGAGTTAGTTTCTGGAGACATGGTGTGGGGATAACTTGTCGAAAGAGTATCATGCCAAAGGGAGTTGACAATTTAGCAGATTCAGAGGATACAAAGTGAAGAGATCCTTTGGGACTTGAGATTCTGCAATGTTACCATGATAAAAAAGGTGATTGGGTTTCAAAGATTCTTAGCTTTGCTTCAGAAGCAAGGCATGCCAGTTGACAGCCTCTAACGTTTTCCCATTTCATTAACGAAAAAGATATTTACTTAATCAAAAATAAATAAATATAATCAAATGGCACCACATTGAAAAGAAACATAGTGACACTAGATCTATCCAAATAATGGTGAACATGTAGTAAGAAGTTTATCGCAGTTGAATGCAAATGCTAAGTAGTGAACCTGATTTACAAAAACATCCCAAAACAGTGGACCAACAATAGATGTTTCCCAGTTGTGTATATGAAGCACATCCGGCTGCTTTCCTGCTTTAACTATATAATCCAATGAAACACGAGAGAAGTAGGTGAATCTGTGATCAAATGATAATTCAAAGAAATTGTGAAAATACATGTCACTACTTGACAACTGAAGGGTTAAAAGTAAACCACTGAAAATGTAAGCCCGTGCAGGAAGAATAGATCACAAACCACCACTAACACTCAAATACAGGTGACTTAGAGTAACCTCTTCAACCAGTTGACCGGCTGCATTGCAGAGAGATTGAGGGTGGGAAAGAGGGAGGGGATGGGGTGTATACAAACACACTGCCCAGTAGGTGTTTTTTTCTAATAAAACTATCAGATCAACGGACACACGCCTATGCTTGAAGGAACAACCATCAAAACATTAATTAAACCTCAATAACATGGTCTTCAAGTCGGAGAGCAATTTAAGCAACTTCCCAGGAATTGTATCTTGTTGAATAAAGAGAAATTCAGTAGAGATAGTTTAATCTAATCTAAGTTTATCGTGATACGACCCAAACACATCCACCAGTCTAGTCAAAGAGAAGTATTCAAAAGCTAGGCTTAAGAAATCAGGAGTTTGCTTGGGATAGAAATATAAAGAAGTTCAGCAAATTTAACAACTTTGCAGAGAGAAGCCATTCTCTACCAGACTTCAGCTCTAAACAACAAAC